AAAAAAAAAGAAAAAGAAAATGAAAACTATTGAGAATTCCACCATCCAGAGATCATCACTGAGCTAAATATATTACTCGCACTGTTTCTTTGTTTTCGTAAGATGCTGTTCCTTAAACAGAACTGGGTTGGACTCTTACAACTCATCATGGCTTCCTTTCTTTCTTCTGCTGTACACTGCTAACAGAGTTGGGATAACATATTTGCAACATATATAAGTGCTCAGCCCAAGGACATCAGGGACAGGGTTCTCTGGACACTGGACAGAGAAAAGTTAGTGGAGAATAACTGTTAGGAGAGTTGGCATCCATTTCTCCATTGCCTGGCAACAGTAACCAGCATTTCTTGAGGGGAAATTGCCCACACAGAGGTTCTATGATTTGGGTGGGACAGACCCCTTCTTACCCCAAGGGGTACTAAATAACCAGAGCGTGAATCAATCAGGCCACTGAACTCCAACAGATCGAATGATGACTTGTTTCCATCCACGACTAGCAACTCCAGGACTTGTGTTCAAAATTGTGGGGTAAGAAAGCTCGTGCTTTCTCTGTCACAGAATATTTATATTTAAAGAGGGAATCTAAATGTCCCAAAAAATATCAGGCTGCAGTGCTGGTACGATAAGAAATGGAATGACCGTTTGGTGTATTGAGGTGTGTCCAGAGCACCTGGACCTCAGGCAAGTCCAGCCTTTTTCTCACACCACCAAGAACACCCCTCACCATAGCCCTTTGCACCCCGTCCTCTACCCACAGGTTCTCCGTCTACTCCAGCCGACCGTCTGCTTCTGAAGGGCAGGGCCTGTCACTCATACCACTAAACATACCTTGCAAAATAATTATTCATGATTTCATCAGAAAGGAAAGGAGCCATGAAATGGCAACATTCTTGATTTAATCACTGAGGGACTTCCGCGGTTCCAGCCCCTCTGCTGGTTGCAGCCATGACCTTCACTTTCTTATTCCTTCTTCTGGCTTTTGCCCTTTGGATGAACACTAGGAGTGCAAATATGATGACAGTACCATTCTCACATAACCAAATAGAGAATTTCAACAAACTACCTTGTATAATGACACACAGAAAAACAAAAGGAGCACGTGTTGAGGAGGTGTGTGAGTCACTGAGCCACACTTCCTTTGTTCGCCTCAGGGTCTATGTGTCTGGAAGGAAGACACACCAGCAGCTCTCCTGGGCAGACCTTCAGGGAAGATGCATCCACTCCTCCTGTTCTTGTTGTCCTTTCTTCTGCCCACTGGGGCCAGGACAGGTGAGTGACCGTCCCATTCCTGAGGCCTGAGCCCATCTCCTAAAACCCCCTGTAATCCTCATCTTTNATGATCATTCAAAAATAAAACAAAATATCTCTGTAACATCTCTACTCACCAAGACTCACTTCCACAACCCCTTCTTCCCTCCAGACTCACAAGAAGAGTCAGGTGTCAGCATGGCCGAAAAGCCAGCTCCTAGAGCAGGCGGGAAATAGGCGGAAAGGAATGCAGGTGCTTGCTGTCTTGTTCCAGGAACGTGCATTGGGATGGCTCTGCCTTCCCCGCCCACCACCACTCTTCTGCCATACTTCCACTCTCTGTGGACTTACAGGCTCACAGGGCTTGTTTCCTGTCTTCATATCCCACACAACACTGAGTCTGAGCAAAAAAGGTATTTTACCATCAAAAAAGGACACAAACCGGTTCCTTTTTCATAGGCCTCTTGTTAGACTATATTTGTCATAGACGGATTAACGAAGCTCAGTGAACCTCAGTTAGGACAGAGATATCACATCTACTCACATAATAGTCAAAATGGTGAAAATCAAAGATAAAGAGAAAAAAATGAAAGTATTCATAGGGGAAAAATAAGTGACATTACTTTAGAGGAAGCAACTATTAAATTACCATGAGCTTCTCATCAGAAATAATGAAAGTCAGAGGACAGTAAAATGACATTTTTCAATAGTTGAAAGACAAAAAGAAATAGGCAACCTACTTCTGGAATTCTATATCCACTGAAAATATTGCTCAAAAATGAAGGTGAAAATCAGGACGTGTTCAAAAAAGCACAGGGGAGAGAATTTGTTGCATGTGCACTGAAAGAAATACAAAAAGGCTGAAGGGAAATGATCCCCAATGTAAGCAGAAGGGCAAAGAGAAATTAAAGTATAAAATGAGACTATATACAACAGGTGGGAGAAAGGATAAATGAAAATGTATCATTACAAGTTTCTCATTGGAAGTGCTATAACATTAATTCTATGTAGACTGTGATATGAGAAGGAGGCATATTTTATCCTAGAGCAGAAGTCAGCAAACTCCAGCTCATGAACCACATGCGGCTGTTTGGGTACGTACATGTGAGCTATATGTTGTATGAATTTTTCTTATTTTAATAGATATAATTAATACTATTACTTGTTATAATATTACTTTAAATTTTCCTTATTTGTAAAAATATATTTATGGCTCTCAAATAATTTTTAAATTGT